AATAAACATATGATTTTGGAGACACTTGTTGGTGTTGTATGTAATCGGGGGATTTAAACGCAAACAGAGCTTGTGGGGCATTGTTGGGATGAACCAGAGGAAGAAAGGCATAGTCACTTAGTACTGGGTCATAATTTTCAGTTAGAAGAACATTGCTGGACTTGAGATTTCCGTGTGGTAAATCATAGGATGCAAACTCTCTGTGTAGGAAATCCATTCCGTGTGCTACTCCTTGGATTATCCTCAGTCGGGTTGCCCAATTCAGCTCGGCATGGAAAATGCCACGATCACCTGAAGATCATAAACAAACCATCTAAATTCCGTATTGTCTTGATGAGAGAAACGCTCACCGATTCAGACAGTTTAAAGACATCCTATATAATGAAAAATATTTGTATATAATGGAAAAATGAAGAGAGTGTTTCCTACCATGCAAGACATACAACAAGCTGCTTTTAGGCATGTAATTCGACACCAATAATTTCTCTTCTCGTCGGTAATGATAGGCCAGTGGGGTCAAAATATTAGGGTGAGAGAGCCTTCCAAACCTTCTCATTTCTGCATCAAATCCATCTCTCCCCAGTTTATTCATCTCCCGCATCCTCTTCACCACCACGCACATACCATTATTCATTAGGGCCTTGTAAGCAGACCCCAAGCTACCGTTTCCTAAAACCTCTGCTGCAGCCTTCATCAAATCTGGCAAACCAAAAACACCCTTTTCCTCATTCACCATCACTAAGTCACCCATCCCGTTCTTGGGATTGTGTGTCCCTCTCCTGTTGGACTCTCCGCTGCCCTTACGGGTCGACTCCACAGGCCTCCTGATCGAATCGGGCACGTGGGATTCCCCGGCTTCATTGTCGCTAAGGTGTTCCTTCTCAAGAACGCTGAATTCAGCATCCCTCCGCCGCCTGGCTGCTATCATTGCAACCATGAGAAGAAAGATTACTAAAACCACCATACCAGTGACAAAGACAGTCGCCTTAAAGTGAGAACCCGAAGGTGCAGATGATTGTGGCGCTTGGTTGCAATGACCATTGAGTTGCTTTCCGCAAAGTTGATGGTTGCCCTGGAAAGGTTTGGAATCGAAATTGGCGTAAGTGGAGGGAATTTCTCCTTCCAGGTTGTTGTTTGACATGTTCAGATCCGTTAGCGTGAGCCCTTGTCGTAATGGCGGGATTGGTCCCGAGAAGTGGTTGCCTTCAAGGTGAAGCTCTTTGAGGTAAGGTAGCTGCACGAGGGAGTCGGGAATCTTGCCGGTCATTTGGTTGTTAGCAATATTAAATCTCCTAAGATTGGTCATGGAGGCGAAGTAATCATTTGGTATTTCGCCAGAGAGTTGATTAGCAGCCAAGAAAAGACCCCTGAGGCCGACAAGTTGGTTGAAAGGAGGGATTGGGCCAGCGAAAGAATTATTATCGAGACGGACGGTTTTAAGATCAGGAAGAGCAGCCAAGGCTTGGACATCGATAGTTCCAGAGATACCCGAGTCGTTGAGATGGATGCCAAAAATGGTGGATTGGGTACAATAAATGCCAACCCAACGGTCTTTACAAGGAGAGGAGCCTGGAGCCCAAGAATCCAAGACACCTGCTGGTACTTTCAGAGACTGTTTGAACTTGAGGAGAGCCTCTGTATCGGATAGTGAAGAAGATGGTTTGAAGAGAGAAAAGAGGAGGAGGAAGAGGAGGAAGAGGAGGAGGAGAGGGAAGCGAACAGCGGCCATTGCTGAGGCGGAAATGGGATAGCCTCGGGTAGAAAGGAGCCGCTGTTCGGATAGATTGTGTGGTTGTGTGAGTTTCTGTTGGTGTCGATTGGTTTGGTTTTGTTTAGTTTGAGTTTGTGCGGAGCAGGTGTCATTGTTGCGAGGTGCATGAAGCTGGCAGGTTTTACGTTTTACATTCTAAGAATAGCATTTTTAAAGTTTGAGGCTTTCAAGGGGGTAACCCAGTTTGTGGGTGCTGAACTTTTTTCTATTTCTGTCACCAAATTTTCGGACTTACAACCTCGTTTACTCATTTCAATCATGTAATCTAATCCAATCAAACCAAAAATAACATTAAACCAATCAAATTCTCCAAGTCTTTTCAACATTCTTGTTATCTACAATGGCTCAATAACCAATATTTACCGTACAACACTATATTCCTCCCAGTACCCGTTTTTAACTGATGATCATCTGAATCAGTTTGACGTGAAAGCCTGCAAACACACAGAAGCTACTATTCTGTAAAACATTTATTCACTCTTTGATCATGTTAATTAACTAAGCTGAAAACTAAAATTAGTAGTACCGAGAAAATGTTGCAGTGACCAGGATCTGCAAGATGAGCCATGAGGTTTTCAATGGGACCTTCCCCAGTATAAATAGCTTGGAAACAGAAGCCAACAAATGCCAGCATAGCAAGACGGCCATTCTTGATCTCTTTTGTCCTCAATACCATTACTGGCTCCGGCGATCCTCTTCCCCACATAAACGGATCAAACCACAACCCACCAGGGTAACCCACATCGGGCTTTGGATTCTTCTTATTAGGAAGCTTAGGTTCAATGTTCACACAGCCTGGGTTAACCATGTCAGCCCATCTTCTTCCTTCCACCCAACCCATTAACCCTAACTGCACCACAAACAAGGTGGTCGGATCCGCAAAGTATTCTCGACCGCCCGCATCGTACCATGAGAAGTTCCCGATGAACCCTAAACTTTCAAGCCATTCAGGTATCAGAATTCCGGCCACCGCCAGCATTGCCCACCTGCTGTGCATTAATTCAGCTTGTGCAAACCATTTAAGCAACTCTGGATCAGAACCTGCATCCACCAATACTACATATACGTGAAGAAGAAATAACTATAACTAAAAAGAGAAGAAAACCCAATAAAATTAATTTTTGGTTTTTAGCAAGATTTAGTTGAATACATACCTAACCCAAGAGGGTCAAAACCGAAATCTCCAGGAAGGCTGTTAAAGAATAGAGAAAATTCTGAGTTGTAGTTCATGTAGATATAGAGAAGAGGTTAACAGTAAAAGAAATATTATTAATAATTAATTTACCTGCCATCAAGCCATGGAGGAGGTGTACTACCAGGGAACCACAATGGTCTATCAGGAGGAAGTGGTTCGCATACACTGGAAACTCCTTTTGTTGCATTCACCAGAGTTCTTCCTGATCCTAGTGCTGTTGTTAGTTTCCCTGTCAATGGTTTTCGAGGTATATTATCCCTGTTCAATTCATCCACGATAATACTAACAAGTTTATTTTTGTTCTTCTTTATAAAACTTATTAGTGCAAGTAAAGTTGAAGAAGAAATAGTTTAGAAATGACCTGATTGGAAGACTTGAAAGTGCAGTAGAAGCAATGGCTAAAGCCATTGATGACAAATCTCCTGCCCTGTGACTTACACCTTTGCCTTGGAGACTGTCTTATCTATCTGCACAAATATATGACTCATTTGTAATTGTGTGACGTGCAATAAAAATGAAGAGGCAAACCAATTATATCCTGACACGTATAAAAGATTTGATTGGGCAATCCGAATCTCCAGGCCCCCTTCTCCAAAAGTCAACAAAAATTAATATTAGAACTTCGTCTCCCACAAAGAAACGCAGGCAAGAGAGAGGGAGACTCCTTCGCAGCAGTTGACTGTAAATTGGAGTTGCAGAGAAACATGAGAAAGAATTTTAAGAAGTTTAAAATGAAAACGAACTAAAAAAATGATGACATGACCAAATAGCATCCATTTTCAACAGATTCTAAAGCCAGTAAAAGGGGTTCCCTTCTTGCACTTCTCTTCCTCTTCTTTCTCATCTTAACATGCCCTTTTCTCTCTAATCAACATGAGAAGGCAAGTCAATTTCAAAAAATTAGCTTGCCAACTAATTCATAGTCTGTAAATTGGAGTTGCAGAGAAACATGAGAAAGAATTTTAAGAAGTTTAAAATGAAAACGAACTAAAAAAATGATGACATGACCAAATAGCATCCATTTTCAACAGATTCTAAAGCCAGTAAAAGGGGTTCCCTTCTTGCACTTCTCTTCCTCTTCTTTCTCATCTTAACATGCCCTTTTCTCTCTAATCAACATGAGAAGGCAAGTCAATTTCAAAAAATTAGCTTGCCAACTAATTCATAGTCTGTAAATTGGAGTTGCAGAGAAACATGAGAAAGAATTTTAAGAAGTTTAAAATGAAAACGAACTAAAAAAATGATGACATGACCAAATAGCATCCATTTTCAACAGATTCTAAAGCCAGTAAAAGGGGTTCCCTTCTTGCACTTCTCTTCCTCTTCTTTCTCATCTTAACATGCCCTTTTCTCTCTAATCAACATGAGAAGGCAAGTCAATTTCAAAAAATTAACTTGCCAACTAATTCATAGTGAATAACGAAGAAATGAAAACAGAATAAACAAAAATGTTATCGTGTATCTCTCTAGTTGTTGTTCCAATTGTAACTCCCTTGCCTAGTTTATCTATAATGATTATTTCTGCTTTGAAGTCAGAGATGCGCTGATGGATGGTTTCATCTCTCCTTTCTTCCACTCCTAGTAGAAAAACACATGGACTATTCAGCTTTTTGTTCTTGATAAGTGAACTCTTTAAAACTAAAGAATTTTTTAGCTTAACAAAGTAAAAAATCAATTGTGAGCTCATGCCTCGAGTATAAAAACAAACAATTGATAAAAGCTTAACATCAATGGCTCCATGAAACTCAATTATGGCGGAGTAATGATTAAGGTAATTAACATGGTTATTAGTCTTATTACATTGATTTAGGAGAGTGTTTTAAGTTTTGGGAATACTATCTATTTTAATATATTGAGATAAAGGGGGACTCTTCCAAATCTGATAAAAGTACTTCAACCTATATAGATCCTCCTTTTTTGAGAATTTATGCTTTTAAACTTTTCTGAAATGCTTCCATATTAATTATAATATTACTTCTCAATGGACTAGACTTCTTTTTTTTTTTTTTTTCTTGATTTGGTTTTTCCATTAGTTCTAGCTTTTTGCCTCCTTGAAGGCCTTGGTAGGGACGATCCTTCATTCATTGTTTGAGGTGGTCTTAAACATTACTTCTCAAGGTCTTTTTTTTTTTTTTGCATTTTTTTTAATGATTCACATCTTCAAATTTTCTTTTAAAGTTTGTTTTGTATTATTATAATTCTTCTGCATATTATCATAGTTTCTGTCTTTATGAACAATCAATGACTTATTTTCTCGTTCAAATTTAGTTGATAATCTTTAATGAAAGTTTGCACTAATATCTACGTCTCTTTTATCTATTGTTCTATAGCCTCTATTATTTGATTTTGTCTATGTCATCCTTTTTTTTATTAGTACATGTATTTTAGATAATTTTTTTTAAAAATTTTTATAATATTTTTTTATCATTTAATATAAAAAATAATAATATTTTTTTAAAAAAAATAAATAAATATTGATAGATGATAGATTATAAGACGAGTTAATCAATATTATTGATGATTCTTATATAGTAACTAATGAACAATCAGTTTATTGTTAAATTTCTATTTATCTTACTTATACTTTTATTTACTTAAAACTATCAAAAAAAGTTATTTTATATTTTTTTATAAAAAAAAAATTCATTCTTATAATCCAATTAGTAATACATATATAAATATTCAAGTATTTTAAATTTTTTTTTAAATAATGATAGAAAATAAAAAAGAATAAAAAATTGTATATATAATCGTAAATATCTCTTGATGAATAATAATTATTTTTCATGTATTGTAATTAAATTCATTCTTTATTGATGGTGTAAAATTAATTTCCCTATAAACTTTTTATAATTAGATGTTACTCTTTTTTATTTTATGATAGTATTGAAATCTATACTTTATGTATTTCTTATCATAAGGAGTTAGAAGATAGGAACGAGAGTGTAATTAAATTCCTTCTTTATATGGTTTATGTTATCTTTTTAAATTTATGGGTTCGAGAACTATAAGTATATGTTATATCATTTTATATGTAATCAAACAAGTGTCATTACATGAAATAGTAGCAGATATCACTCATCAACTCCCTGTCACTATATCACTTCATGTTGCTCCTCCGTCCCTGCATCTGCCTAAAACACAACTGCAAACTGAATCTTCCCTTCAAAATTACTCCATCATTTCCCAACCAATCCACCAGAACCCGATTGCTAACGTCTCGCCCAATCCTCCCAAAATTCTTTCTCCTCTTCTCCCTGCTCCTACTCAAATAGATCTCTCTTTATTCCTGACACGAATAAACCCCTCCAATCCACCAAATCCATGTTCGCAACCCAACATTTCCTCTCTCCTACCAACCATTACCTTCTGCACTTACAATTACTCTAAAACCATAGAGCTCGAACTTAATTTTTTACGGCGATAACAAAGGAATAATCCCTTTCTCCTAATCTAATCATGGTGGAGACTCTGCCACTCGGACGCTTTCAGTTGCAGCAACAGAGGCTGGAAGTAAAGCGGTGCGTTTCCACATTCCTTTCTTCTCACAAAACCCTCTTCACGGTCCTATGGATCGCGGCGTTCGCCTCGGTTTTCGTATGGCAGCGAAACGTGGTTGGCGGCGGGTTCTCAATATTCGGGCGGGGATTGCCCAACCGGCCCATGCCCCGGATGAGACCCGTGGCCTTCAACCTAACCGATTTTGGCGCCGTCGGCGATGGGGTGACATTGAATACCGAAGCCTTCGAGAGGGCCGTCTTCGCGATCTCCAAGCTCGGGAAGAGAGGCGGTGGACAGTTAAATGTTCCTCCTGGGAGGTGGCTGACGGCACCGTTTAACCTTACCAGTCACATGACACTGTTCCTGGCTGAGGATTCTGAGATACTTGGCGTCCAGGTCGGTTCTCTCTCACTTGCTTATTTAAGTTGGGTCGTCTGTTTTGTGAAGCGGCATACACGTTTGAATTGATCTTTCTATTTTATTATAATCTTTCTTGCAATAGTTGTAACTGCTACCGTAGATTTATGTTCAATCACATTCTTCTTAATTTTTCCCTATGAACGAAATTCATGTGGATGAGAACTTAGTACCTCAATCCAATTACAATTGCTTAGTTGGTGAACTAAGTGCTGGAATGGGGTTAAGTTTTTTAATTAGTGGGAGATCGTGATGTATGGTAAGTGCTGATCATTTATGGACTGGATATGATGGCAATGACCCGTTGTTGAAAATCTTTTCAGTAATTCTCCTGCATCTTTGATTACCCCCATCATCTCCTTTGCATGATGATGCCAAACAGGTTTTTGAAGATCCAGTTTTGTTTAACAAGCTGATTGCAGATTTTAGAACTATGGAGGCATGTAATATCTTGTAAATTGATTTTCTTTGTCGTTTGAGACAAACTAAATAGAATTATAGTTGAATCAAATTTTCAAGGTCAGCCACAAAAAACCGTGACCTCTTTGAGGTATCTTCAGCAATACCTACAGCATGCGGTAAACTAATTTCTTTATCAATATAAGTGAAATTTTGGCATTTAAATTGTTGATTCAGTTGTATAATTGGTGTGTTCATGGTAAGATACTGAAATTATAAATAAGTTGTTATATACTCACTTTTAGCATCACTCCATCATTGTCTTTTGGGTAATTGGTTGGTGCATTGATGATAAGATACTGATATTGCAAGTTAGGCAGTTCTTATTCCAATAATCATTGTCTTAGCAATTAGCTTTATTCCATGTGTGGATCCTTATTCATAAAAATTCTCCAGCAGTATGTATTGGTAGATAAGACTTGCCACTGACCAAACATGTTCTCCAACAGTAGGATCACAAAATTTTTATGTCAGCAATACTTTTTTTTCCCATTTGGTGCGGAGGGGGTGTGTGTTTTTTTGTGGCGGGGGTGGTATGCTGGCTTTTCGGCTTGTCGTTTTCACATTAAGAGGCTTTTTGTAATTATACAAAGTAAGCAATGAAAAATGAAGGAAAAGGGGTTGAAATAACATTAAACTGGTTCTAGAAAAACATTGTCACATTACCTATCTTCATGGCTATGGAAAGGTCAAGCAAAGTTAACCTTTAGGATGTTCATGCTCCTTTTGCTGAAAATATTTGGTGTTCAAGCTTGAATTGAAGCTCAATTGGGATTTTGAATTTCTGTTATGTTTGTTAGCAGTACCTAGATAGTATAGTATGAAAGAATGTGATTGACTGTGTAAAGCTGTCATCATGTGGTAGAAATCTTACTATTGCTGCCAGCTAATGATTAGCTGCAGTGACCTGTCACTAAATGTATAGAATGCAGGAAAAGATATGAATGAAGTCATATGATATTTCTCTAAATTCTCTCAACAGTTCTTTTCACTAGTCTCTGCTCCCCATTCTCTCTTCTTCTTCTTCTCTGCGACTCCTTTCCTCAATCTTCCTCTCCTCATATTTCTATAACCCAATAACCCAACAGCCTAGCCTGCCAATGAGCCATTATCCTGACATTATACTGTTCAGGTTATTTAAGTATG